CGTGTGGGGGGACCCCAAAGGCGGGGGGGTGGGGGGGGGGCAAAATACAGGGAGGGGTCCTAAATAGCAAGGGGGGGGGGGGGAGAGTAAAGGGAACGGGTGTTTGGGGGAGGGGAAAAACCCAAAGGGAAACCGGGGGCCCTGCCCCCCACCGCCCCCCCCGGGGGGGAATGTAAATAGAGAACGGGGAGGGGGACCCCAATGGGAAATGGAGACCCCAAAACCCAAAGGGGGAACGGGGAGGGGGTGCAGGGAGAGGGGAATGAGCCCAAAACCCAAAGGGAAATGGAGAGGAAGCCAAAGCCAACAGAGAGAGGGGGGCCATGGGGGGGAGTTTGGGGGATCCCAGAGGAGCCGAAGGGGAACAAACCCCAAAACCAGCAGAAAACCTGGAGGGATCCCAAAGGGGATTGGGGGGGGGATCCCAGGGACACTGAGTGACCACGGGGGGATCGCAGCGCCCCGGGGACCCCACAGAGCCCCCCAAGGCCCCATAAGGAGCTCAAGGACTCCGTAACGATCCCACGAGGACCTCGAGAACTCCATTGGAATCCCATTTAGACCCCAAGGACCCCATAAGGACCCCATAAGGCCCTCAAAAGATCTCATAAAGACCCCATAAGGCCTCAGGAACCCCACCAGGATCCCACTTGCATCCCGAGGATCCCATAAGGACCTCAAGAACCCCCCAGGGATCCCGTTTGGACCTCAAGGACCCCACGAGGCTCTCAGGGCCCTCGCAAGAACCCCAAGACCCCATAAGGAGCCCCGCGACCCTCAAAGACCCCACGAGGACCTCAAAGACCCCACGGCCCCCCCTCCGTGCCCCCGCACCTGCGATGAGCTGCCGCAGGGCCGCGTAGCGCCGGTTCCTCAGCCGGGTTCGGGCTCCGGGCCTTCGGGGCCATCGGCTCGCCCCGGTTTCGGGGTTGTGGCGCCTTCGCTCCCGCACCCGGCGGCAGTAAAAAGCCACCTCGTAGCTGGGGGGGAGGTGGGCGAAGCAGGGCAGGTGCTCGGGCCTCAGGGCTCCGTGGAAGCGCTCGAGGAAGACGAGGGGTTTGCGCAGGAAAAGCGCCCGCAGTTCGCCGTGCCGCTCGGCCGCCGTCAGCTCGGGGTCTCCCTGCTGCTGGCTGCGCACGCGGACGGGGCTGGCGGCCACCGCGGCCAACATGGCTTCCACCGCCGCCATGGGGAGGGGAGGGGCCTCCTCGGTGCCGGGGGGGTCCCTGTAGGGCGCGGGGACCGGATCTGCCGTGGGGCGGACTGGGTGGGTCGTGGGGTCCTGGTCTTCTTCCATAGGGGCCGAGGGGTCCATAGGGGCCGAGGGGTCCATAGGGGGCGAGGGGTCCCACTCCTCCCCACGGTGCTGCTCAGGGCCGGGTTCTGCTGCGGGGTGAACCCTGTGGGTCGTGGGGTCCTGATCTTCCTCCATAGGGGCTGCGGGGTCCCACTCTGCCCCACGGTGCTGCCCAGGGTTCGGTTCTGCCGGGGGGTCTCTGTTTGTGGGCGTGGGGCCCCGCAGCGCAGCTCTGGGGGCCCAATTTGAAGACGCGGGAGCACAGTTGGACGCTTCGGGGTCAGGTTCTGCCGTGGGGTCTCCGCTGCAGGGCTTTGGGTTCCTCCTCGTGGCTTCGCGGTCCCTGTTTGAGGCCGCTGGGACCCATTTGGAGGCTTTGGGGTCAGGTTCTGCCGTGGGGTCCGGCTGTTCCACGGGGCGCCCCTCAGGGGGCGCTTTGGGGCCCCGCTCCACCGCAGGGGTTTCATTTGAGGAGAGGAGGTCCTCCTTTGTCACCGCGGGGTCCCGGTTTGATATAGGGATCCACTTCGATGCTGCGGGGTCCCGATCTGAGGATACGGGAACCCAACCGGAATCCCCGTTTGAGGTCATGGGGATCCACTTCGGCGCCGTGGGGCCCTCCGTCCCCTTGGGGTCCTCCTTCATCACTTCGGGGTCCCGGTTTGAGGCCCTGAGGTCCCCTCGGGTCGCTCTGAGGCCCCACGCCGCGGTGCTGCCCCACTTTGGGGTCTCCGGTCCCACTTTGGGGTCACGCCGCGGCCGCCGCAGTCCCTGCAGGTGGAGCAGAGCGTCACGGGAGCCCACGGGCCGACCCCACAGCGCTCCAAGATCCCCAAACGGGTCCTACGACCCCCCGGAACCCAACGCGGGTCCGCAGAGCTCGGGGGAGCGGGGGGGGTTCCGGCGGCCCGAAGACGGGGGAACGCAAAACGCCGCGGAACCGCGGGGCTCCTGCAGAGCCCGGGAGGAGCACTGAGGGACCCCGCACCCTCCCTTCCCCCTCCCGCAGCCCCCAAATTCCCCCCGGCTCGGCGCGCAGCCGCCCGGCCCCGTTTGAGCGCGACACCGCCGCGCTGCTCCTCACCCGCTCCTGCCGCCGCCATCTCGAAGTGCGTCACTTCCGGCGCGACTGAGCCCGACTCGCGCCAACTTCCGGCGCGCTTTGGTTCCGGCGCCCCTTGACGCCCGGTGCGCTCCACTGAAGGATCACTTCGGTTCCGGATCACTTTGGTTCCCCCCTCCCCCTCCCCCCAAACCTTTCCTGTGACCTCGCGTTGGGGTCAAAGGTTAAAGGTCAATGCTAAAACCCACCCTCCCCTTTTCATTAAAAAACCCCATATTTACCTTAAAAACCAAAAAGGCACCGTTGCCCCATAAGGGGGGGGAGGGGG